CYRGGATAGTGGAAGGGGTCCYTGCCACGGCAGGGGTTGATTTTTTAGGTCCTTTCCAACAAATTGAYCTTTTAGGTCYCTTCCAACCCAAACCAGACTGGGATTCTTGTGGTTTGAACTGTGGCCAAAAGCCAAAGCATCCCCAATGCTTCCCCCACCTCCACAGCTACGGAGATGAAAAACCTTAATTAACACAAAGATTTATGGATTTTAGATAAGAAAKTGWGAGAAAGAGGGGGTCAAAACAGGCTGTAACTTAAACTGCAGTAACTTAAATTACGCCATCCAAAATTACATGAAGATGCTATGCTGGGCTCCATGACATTCCTGCAACRTTTGTGTATTAATGACCTGCAAAAAAACGGTTTTTCCTTGTGAAGGACAAGCACCCAGCATTTGTAAACCACGAGCTGCATGGATAAATCCAACTGAGCACATTCACTCCTGAAGCCTGGCTAAGCCCCAAAGCTGAGGGGTCTGTACCCACACATCAGAGAAGGCAGAAAACACCTGGAGTTCAGCCCTGAGCTCAAATTCCAAAAGAATTTGCTAATCCTGAGCAGCTGAAATGGTTTTGGATGAAACTGGACAGATCCAAAGCTGTCAAAGAGGAAAAGAAACTATGAAGGGCAAAGTCTGGTGGCAGAGAAGGGATTGCCAGGAACACAAACTACCAGAGACAAGATGAAGATGTGCCATGTCTGACTGTGCCACCACARTTCTGCACTTGATCCAAGCAGGAACTCCAAGAGGAGCTCGGTTTGGGTTGGAATCTCCAGTGTTTGATGCCCTGGCAGTGCCACGGATGGCATTTCTGCTGTCACTCTCAGGAACAGCAGTGTGATGGCTCGGGAGGGACACTTGGGGATGCTCTGCTCAGGTTTGGGAAGCGGCGCCGGGGATGCTCTGCTCGGGTTTGGGAAGTGGTTCCAGATTCCAGAGATGAGCAGCAAATGTAGGAATGGGAGAAGGGAAGTGCTTGGAGGAAGGGAAAGGATGAATCACCCYTTTCCCAGCTCGGGCTGCAACAGCCATTTCCAAATTGGCTCCCGCCGCTGGCACCGCTCTGCGCCGTGAAAATCCAAATTTCCACTTACAGGTACCTCAGACAAAGCAAACCATGAGCACTGCAAACCCTAAATCAATTAAACAATTTCATTTAGAACATTTGGGAAGCCTGAGAATACAATGAGAGACAGCAGGGCCACTTTGCACCAGGAGCCTGCAGAGAAAGCACCGTGCTGGATGAGCTCTGCAGGAAATGTTCTGGCTCGCAATTAATGCCAGTTTAACAAATTACAGTTGCTACTGTGAAATTTGGATTTTTTTTAATTCCAAATTCATTTGGAATCATTATAAAGGAAAAAAAAGGATAAGCATCCCTAAAGCTGGCACAGAAGTTTTGTGTTAATGGAAGGGAACTTCTTCAAGGCAAGAAGCATCGACTGTCACTTTGCTCCCWTCCTTCAAACTGGGATGAAACTGCCAAAGAATGGAATCATTTCAGCTCTGWATGGGTTTTACAAGAGTCATCAGCCTCAGACAGAATCTTTCAGTCAAGAATTCCTCAGAGCATGTTTGGGACTCACTCCGGGTAAGGAAAGAAATCTTTCAGACTCTCCAGAAGAGACAGGATGGCAAAGATGTTGTTGAAAAGCATTTGCTGTTAGATTGGAGTCCGTAATTTCTATCACATTCCAAAGCTCAAACACAGGGGAAATAACATTTAAATAATATATATTTGGCTTATTTTTTTATAATTTGATATATTTCCTTCTTAACATGAATGAAAGCAAGATTAAAGGCAGTGGGATCTGAAGGCAGACTAAGAAATGCTGAAACTGCTGCCTTTGAAAGACTTTGTGAAGCATTTTGGTCTGAGAATCCTTCACGGAGCAAAAGGGATTGGAATCCAGCCTGTGGCTGGAAGTGTGTTGATCTGCAGAAATGCACCTCTTAGAAGTCTTCAAATCCAGTTTAAACACTTCTTTCCATCCTCATCCCTTCCCTCTAGTCCTAGGAGCACTGAAGAGCTTTGAAAGACRTGGTAAGAAAGAAAAATGAGACTTGTACTGATTTTGGAAGAAGTTTTACCACTGACACTCATGCCATGATTTCAACTATTTTTAGCTCTTGTAAGGTTAGGCTTCAAAAAAACGAAAATACCCAACTAAAAAATAYAAAAACCCTCTAAACATACTGAAATTAAACGTTCTGAAGTGGCTTGCAAAGTCATCTCTGAACACTRGAATGACGGCTCAGGAGAGAAGCTGACAAGTGCTTATCAGTTCAAAATCCACGAAGGAAAGCAGATGAAAATATAAGATTTTATAAAATACATGCATGAAGAGCTTACCTGAAGCAGAATTTAAGTCAGTTACTCCTCAAGACTGAGCTACATGGAAATATCACAGGGGCATCCAACTTCAGCCTGGAGTTCACAGAGTTAAAACTAATCCCATCACCAAKATTATCACAACCTTATTTTTTTTAACAGCGAAGAATCAGTGTCTTCAAGGGAGATGCACCAAGCCAGTTTTTCTTCTTCATTTTTGGATTTTTTCTTCTAAGTGAAGCAGCTTTAGGAACTTTTTGAGGACACATTTTCCACCCTCCCCTCAATTTTACAGCCTCATGTAACTAAGGAGCTAAAATTGGAATCCTATCTAAAGTTAGGGAGGTCAAATTAAGAGAGGAAGTAAAAAAAATGTCAGGAACCGAGCAGAAGGCCAAGCTTGCATGGTAGGTGCAGGCTGCCTAGAAATCCTAATTAAAATTACCCCCCTAATTAAAAATAACCCCATCTCTGAAAATCTTTTTTAATGTGAGGGTCACAGACACATCAGGGTTGAGGAAAAGAAACAATCAGCCATGGAGTTACTCACATTGATAAAGAACCCAGGAGCAATTCCTGAAGAATTTTGGTCAAATTTCCATTTGAACAGCTCCTATCCCTGGGCATAGTAACAACTGCTGATGATTTAAATTGGGTTTAAATTTGTTTAGCAAGTTTCACCCTTGATTAATTTTTGCCTTCACTTGAAGTCAAGGCTCACCAGCAGTTTTGTTCTATTTTTGTTTCAGCTTTACAGTCACCACCACAGAACCAGAATGAAGTGCTCAAACCCTTTCATGGAGTTTTAAGGGGCAAATGATCACAAGGACAAATAATCCTCATGTTGGAGAGTTGGGTTACACATAAAATACAAGGTGGTGTGTTTGTACTACAGACCATGGCTGTGTCTTCCTCAAATTAGTAACAGAATTCTCTACTGTTGTCCTAGAAATAACAGAGGAATGTTTTAAAAAAGAACCTTCAGAGCAGCGTTAAATGGTTTTGGAGCAGTCCTCRATTGGGGGTCAGGGAATTGAAATACCACGTTCTAAAAATACAATGGGAGATGCTGATCCTTATTTTAAACTCCAAGTTTTAACTGCCACATCTTAAAAGGCTTTGAAGCACTTCCATTTTAGATCTACTGTAACCACCTACTCAACCGAATCTGTATTCCTGACTCCATTAATCCCCTGTTCCTGCACTTTGAAATTCAACTTCTGCCTTCAAGGTAGGAGAGCCTGTGCTCTAAATTTCACTAATTAACTGCAATGAAGATGCTTTGAGTCTCTGCAGAGTGGGTTTTGAATTGTTATCCCCCCTTTTCACAAGTGAAGAGGAGAGGTTCAGCACATCTGTTCTAAGATAATTTTAACCGGTTTTGCTCTGACTGAGGGCCAACAGCACAGCAGCTCATTTCTGAGAGCTTTCTGGGCAGAGGATGTTCCCTTAAAGTCACAATTTCACAGAGCAGCTGTGTCCAGAGGGCCTGGAAGGAGAGCACTCAACCWTCAGGTGTCTCCTCACTGGAATATGGGAACAAGCAGGGTGTTGTCAGCAAGACTCCCAATTTCAGAGYACATGGAAAGGCTACAGGTGATGAAAGCAAGGCTGGGAAACAGAACAAGCAGCTCAATCATATGGAACCACACCTCCTCCTGTTCCCCCAGCACAACCCCACTCCAAGCCCATGAGGAGAGCAGGCCCTCCCACCCCATAGGGAATTCTCAACCCCTCTCTGCAGAAATGCTCACCCAACAGAACTGAGAGCCCCTGGGATACAAAAAAAACTATTGCACAACTCGCTGATGAGAGCAGCTCTGCCTTTGGTTCAAGTCTTTACCCTCAAAACCCACTTCTAGAAATGGAGTTGCTTTCTGTGCTGACAGTCTTCAGTCTGAAAACCTTGAATTATCTGAGAATCAAAAAAGCAAAGTCACAGAGGCATTTGCTGTTGCCCTATTTCCCTTGCAGTGGCCACTGTTTAAACCTCCTTTATCTGGAGAAAAGGTTTAACTGTAACACTGCAAATACATYTGGGGAACACAGCAGAGCATGGAGCAGAACCACAATGGTGACTCCAAAACATGCTGAGTGGGGGGGAACAGCTTGCTTTTCTGTTGTTTTGGGTTTTTTTTTTTTTCCTTAACTACTGCCATATTCAGCACAGCAGCAGTGAAGAATTCAAAAGGGAAATCTCAAGTAGTTCGTGCTTGTTAAAATTAATTCTCAGTTCGAAGAATTTTCTTTTAAGCAGTTCTTTTAATCACGATAAGGGTAGGGCATACCTCATTAGGATAGGTTTGCAAGGTTTTCCTTTTCTCTATAGGCAGAGGGATTAAAAAAAAAATCAAACAAACCAGCACTTTACATTTGATCCAATAAGACTATATCCTGCATTTTGAAGTTTTTTTTAAAAAGGATCCTTGTTGAAAAAACAACATATAGAATGAGTGCCCCAATTTTTGTTTGTGGGTTTTCTTAAAAAAAAAATAAAATTTAAATATAGGTATTTAAAAATAATGCAGTTTTGCCATTAGTCACAGTTTTTAGTAGTGTGCCTAACCCCAATCACCTTTGCTCTCCGGAATTAAATGTTACTGGGCTCTCACCTGTCCATTTTTTATGAACTATGGGGTTATTTTTTCTCGGAGCACAGAGCAAATCACGTATCACAAAATCCTCAGTGAGAAGGGTGAGCTCTTTAATGAAAAGWATCCTCTCTCCCAGAGAAAGTATTCTGTAAACCTTACCTGGCAGTTTGTCTGAGCTAAATACAACATTAATGTCGAGGTGGTCGMTGTTCCCAAATCCATAACCAGGAGAGTCTTTGCACTGAGAAGGATCCACAGTGCAGGGGAGGCAATGGATAATCTGTGAGGGTATTGATGTGTTTTCATTCAAGAGCTAAACATGGTAACACWCTACAAAAAGCATTTGGGATGTGTGCATTGAACTGGGTAACAATTTACAAGGGAGCATTAGAGGCCCATGGTTAAAAAACTTCCTATAAACTTAAAATCATTTAAAATTCGCCAGCCAAGCAACTCTAGATTCTTAATGCCAAATAATGAATTACACCTTTCAAGGATGAACCACAGTGGATTTTTTAAAGAGGCCATGCCACAGGGATACAGTTCTTTGTCTTTCCTAAGCAGATCATTGTACATCTGATCATATGTTGTTTTGAAGTCATAAACATTTGGCTTGTCCGGGGCTGGTCCTGGCAGTTTCACGTGAGTCCCTGTGCCAAAGGATCTGACGCTGAATCCTCGTTTGCTGAAAGACACAAGGGAAGGGGGGAGAGAAAATCATGAGACTGGATGGACTTAAAAAATTAAAGTGYTGAAGAACAGAGTGAATTTGAAAAACATGCCAAATCACAGCCGAACAGTTGGGGAAACAAAATGCCAAGACACCCAATGTGTATTTTCCTTGTGGTTACAATCCAAACACAGGCACCTTTCCTAAAGAAACACCTCTATTCAACAGGAATTTTCTTACAATTATGGTTCACAGCTATTTGGAAATGTCTTTTGTGCTTTCCTTTTGTGCTTTCAGACACCCTGGATTTGCAAAAAGCATGTGTTGTTTATTCACTCATGGACAACACAGTGGAAGCAGAGATGTTTTTCTCTTAATACAAATAAATAACAGCACTGACTGCTCAATACTGAAGTGTCCTGCTAAGATTGTTGGCCTAACTGMATTATTCTTCTCACTTTGTTGCTCAAACTACCTCTGGTGTAATTTAATTAGCCAGGATAAAGATTTGTGTGCCTGCCACTGAAAACCATCCAGTGCAATTACCTTTACACAAGAGGGGCAATGTTCTCCTGGCTGCTCTCTAAAACTCTTGGCTAAACCAGGGACAGTTTCATTCCACTCTCATGAACAATTACTTTTTTAATAGTTATCATTAAAAAAAAGAGGCAGGAACCTGCTTGTCTATAGGAGTAATGCCAAAATGTCTTTGCTGATTAATTGAAATATTTGCATCGAACCTCAATACATCCTTCACTAGGATTAAAAATATGACATCTATTGAATAATGGGAAAAAAAAAGGATTTTCTGGTGGTCTAGTGGACATATTACAATCTACTGAATAATGGGATAAAAAGGATTTTCTGGTGGTCTAACAGACAAAATCATGCAGTAAAATACTGTTGTTATCATCCAGAAGGCCGAAACAATATTGTTTGGTGGCGACAATATAACTTGAAACAGGAAGATCACAACTCAATCTATTTTTTAAGGACTCACACTTTCAGCTTCAATGCTTTAGTGGAGACGGAATTGAGTGAATTAAATTAAAACAAAAAGCAAGCAAACAACTCAATGCCTGTGTCCCCACAGCCCCAGAATTAACCCCAAATTTGTAGGGCTTTCCTGTGAACAGAGTGAGCAGAGTGCAAGAGTCACCCCGAGTGCTTGGGCTGCACACAGAGAGAAGGAAATTCAGTAGAAAACACCAACTCAAATCGTGTTTGCCTTCAAAGTGTGTCTTCAAAGTGATCCCAAACGCTTCTGGGCAGAAACTGTGATCAAACTTGTGCCCCAAACTCCAGCACTGCTCTGCAACTATCAACACTTATTTCCTTCAGTTCCTCCTACTGGAACACAGCCCCTCCTTTCTCTTTTCTTGCTTCCCCACACTTTTTCCTCCAGSAGCTATTTATGGGTGCCTATTTCTGTAAACAGACAGGATACATGATGATTTTCTGCTTCTTTCTGCAGGACTAAAGACTGAAAATGGATACAAGTGGAAAGAAGTGCAATTCTTTGCCCCTCCCAGTCCTCCATCACATGTAAATGGTGCAGTTATGAGTCACTGTTCATTTATTTTCCCTGCAATACTTGCAGACCCAAGTTTTTATTCTGTTGCTTCTGCTCGACATGAAGAGAGATGTAATATGTACAGAAGAAATTGCAGTGCTAAATAATTCATGTTTCAATTTGACCTTTTCTTCTGTGGTTTCCTCCTTTTATTTCTTTTCTCTTTACCATTATTCTTTTGGTCTGTTTGGATCACACACACATTAAAACCTCCACCTCCAATTGCTGGAAATACCCCTGAAGTTTGCGACTTCATATAAAGCTGACCTGAAATCTCTGACATTCAACACAACCAGAATTTGGGCCTCCAAGGCCCATGAGCCATTCAAAATTATTCCTCAAATAGCTGGAATATGARTTCCTCACATGGAATTTCATGCTTYGTACCTTGGCATGCAGTAGTGTCMATTTTCACACTATTTATGCCCCAGGTATAATAAAATACTATTAATACGAAAGATTTTAAAAACATTTCAACTTTTTTTCTTGCAACAATTGGGGCACAGGAGATGGAAAAATGCCTGCACAGAACAATTATTCAGGGGTCTGGTTTTATTGAAGAGCTGGACACATCCAGTGGAGTGAATCATCAGGTGTCTGTGGGAATGTGGCACATTTTTAACAATGAACAATTTCTACAAGACAATGTGTAGCCAGTATTTGGTTCTGGCCTAGTAAAACCATCTATAAATTGGAAAATAATGAGCTTTGTGCTAAACAGAAAAGGGTAAGACAGACTAACAGACTATCCTAACACTGAAAATGTGGAGTTTAAACTTTAACAGAATMATAATTATCACATTTCAGGAAGTTGTTTCTATTAATTAAGGCTGATGTAAATAAACTACCAGTATATTAAGGACAAAGTGAGTCACCAGACTGACCTCATTCTCAGCAGGTTTGCTCACCTCTCAGTCCAAAGCTCATTACAAGGAGCTCACCAGCACCACTCAAGTGGCCCTGAGCATTTCCTTCCAAAGGATTTCAGAGSTGCAAACACTTCTGAAAGCAGAGCCCAGCCTGGGACTGCACTGACAAACCACACATTGGGACCACTTGGTTTCAGGCACTGAGAGGAGAAATAATCATCTGTGCAGTTTGAAACATTGACTTTTATCCACGCCTTTCTTTTATTTCACTGTCATTTGGGGATCACAGTCATTCTTATGAAATTGTTTTTTCAGTTTATTGTACAYTCCTAAAGCACAGCCTCTCTTTTCAATGGCAGCAGGAAATATTAGTGAGTATTAAAATAAATGCAGTAAATCCTGCAGTGCTACTGCAGCTGAGAGTGTGAAGATTTTCAGGGGACAAATCACTYATTTTAACACATCCCCTTCCATGAGAGGTAGCAGGAAAATAATGAGCAACCCTTGTAGGCTACTTAGAAAATATCTTATGCCTCTCAATCAATATTTAAAAAACACCTCCCAAAACAGGCCRACCCTGCTGAACAGCAGGACAAAAGCACTGTTAACTAATTCTGAATATTAAAAACTTGTTGTAATTTGCATTGTCACTATTAAGTTGTCAAATGAAAGTGTGCTTTAATATAAAAATGTGAAAATGTCTCCTTCTTGGGGGTTTATTAATTCAGGATTTCTTAAATTTGGCAACACAAATGTCAATACCTCACTGCATTTTGGTGCTGACAGATGATGCCAGGAGAGAAGCTTTAACAACTTATGGAAAGAGCACAGCTGCAATTTTAAGTTTATTGAACTACAAGTCTTAACATCAACATGAAATTTAAGTCTCAGCTGCTGGGGTTGCAATATTTGAAATCCTCTGCTGCCACTAAGATCTCATGTTCATACTCCCAATTTCCTAAGAGTCAGGTTTCCAAAATAAGGAATATGTGCCTGAAGTGTGTATCAGCATCCTACAAGTTTTCMTTAGCAGCAGTGACACAGAGATCTTGAATTCAGTAATTTCCTTTCAAGGGTACAACCCAGCAAATATACARAAATGGAAATATGGAAGGTGCTGCATAAAATGTTTGGTTGTGAGAGATTTACCCTTCTGCTTCCTCCTGTTTGAGGGACAACCATAGYCTAAGTGCTTACTCTACAGCAAAAAAAGTAAAACAAAGAAAATAAAAGATAAAACACCTGTAGAACATGCTGGTTTTGGCCGGGGTAGGGTTAATTTTTGCCCCAGCAGCCGGTGTTGTGGATTTGTGTTGGTAACACGGGGATGTTTTTGTTATTGCTGTGCAGGGCTTAGACAGCAGCGAGGCCTGTTCTGCCTCTCACCTCACCCCACCCCAGCAGAGGCTGCACGTCACATCTGCAAAAGCAAACCAGACAGGATGAGTAAGATCTGACCGAGGGATGGGTTACACACATCCAGTCTGACGGCTTTGAAGGAGGGATTGTGCCTTTCTGCACTGCTCTTCCTGYTCCCCCTTTGTTTCCTTGGCTCAACACACCCCTGTGGTGATGGRTTTTATTCTATCAACAGACTTCAGACAGACCTTCAGTCTGACTTCTGTTGGGAAATTAGAAAAAAGTGTTTAAAACGTAGTTAATTAAAAAATACACAAGCACACTCTGAATGCCGGATTCCAGATTTTGTTTTCCAACAGTACACAGAATTTGTGTCTTTTAAAGTCACCCACTAACAAAATACCTTCCAGTTTCATAATTCCTCAGTTTCTTCCTAACTCTTCTTCCTCTTTTAATCATGTTCTTCCCAACTGCAGTGAAACACAGAGCAAGACACTGCCCTGAACTGGTGAGGCAGGCTGGCTTTGKGCCAACACAGACATTTTCCTGTCGTTTACTGGTAAATGAGCAGTTATTTCTTTAGGGTAGCATCAGCAATTTATCTGTTTTGCCATTTAGGTACTGCTGCCATAGTTACAAAGGATGTTAATAMAATTAAACGTTTTCTAAATACAGTTTTGTAACTTTTAAATTAAAATCTTAAGGGACAAGAGACTTTGAAAAAAAAACCACCCCCAAACGTTTTCCTGTCACATTTACCACACATCAGTCACACCGGAAGTGATTTATTGCTGCAAAAACACAGGGGAAGGAAAATGCCAAGACATCAGAAGTAAATTTGACTTTATCCTTCATACTCAGGTCTCAATTAAAACTCAGTTCCAGCATTATTAGATGAAAAACAATGTCATGTTTTCACAGAACTGCAACAGGTATCATCCAATGCCAAGTGTGAGCGTGAAGTGCATGAAATGCTGTCACAGTAAGATGGCTGCCAGACCAGATGCTTGTTATTTATTCCTTTCAAAGCTTTTTTTTTTTTTATTATTTACACAGCTTACACACGGTTGTTTTGCTTACTGTGCCATCAATGTTTATTTCTACTGTGAGTGTTTCTTGATGTARCTTTAATAAAATTATTAAAGTTTATCACGTTCGTGCAGTGCAAAGGGAAGATTTAGGGACATGATTTCAGGCAGATCAGGTCTCTCCTGTCCGTCAGTCCGTCCCCAGTCTCCCATTTCACCTTTTCAGCCAAGATGAGAACACTTGGAGCGCTAAACAGATTAACATTTATAATCTCAAAYACATTTAACATTCTGAACAGAATGTTCCGGGTCTCCTGTGAGAGGAAAGGGCTCTTTCAGGGCATAGAGTGGTCTCAGTTTTTACAGAATCACAGAATGTTTTGGGKTTGGGAAGGGACCTTAAAACCCAACCCATGGACAGGGACACTTTCCAATATCCCAGGYTGCTCCAAGCCCCGTCCAACSCGGCCTTGGACGCTTCCAGGGATGGGACAGCCACAACCACCCTGTGCCAATGTTTCACCATCCCTTTTACCACACTAAAAAAATGTCTTTCTAATATCTAACCTAAATTTCCCCTCTACACCCATTACTTCTTGCCCTATCACTCCAGTTCCTGAGGAACAGCCCCTCTCCGGCTCTCCTGTGGGCCCCTCCTGATGCATTCAAGGGGGTAAAAARTAAAAACAAGGGGGAAAAAAAAAAGGAAACAAGAGAATATTTGAGTTTCCACACACCAAGGCACGGGCCCTGCTCTGGGGAACTCCCCAGCCCGTGTTTTCAACACTGAGGCCGCAGGTTCGTCAGGGAGGGCCCGGACCCCCGAYCGCGGCCTGGAGCGGGGCGCGGAGGCGGCGAGGTAAAAACGGGGTGAAACGGGGTACAAGCCGGGAGAAAAGGGGATAAAAACAGGGTGGAAGCCAGGTGAAGGGGGATACAAGAGGGCTGAGGACGGGGTGGAAACGGGGTGAAGGCGGGAGGTGCTGTCCCGTAACCGTGGGCCTGCCGGGCCGGGTGCGGGCCCCGAAGCGCGGCCCCCTGACAGCGGAGCGCCGCCGGCACGGGGGRAAAACCGGGCAGCAGCGGTTACCTGAGGATATTGTGCGCCTCCATGCTGCGGTTCTGGTTGCTGGAGCACACCACGGCCACGCGGAGCGGCGCGGAAGGCATGGCGGGCACGGCGCTGCTGCTGCCCGCGCCTCCCCGGCCGCCGCTCGCACAAAATGGCGGCGGCAGCGCGGCGGGCGGGGAAGGGACGTGTCAGCAGGGACCCGGCGCGGCCAACCGCGGCTCGGAGCGGGGGAGGCGGAGCGGCCGCGGGGCCCTGAGGGGAGGGGAGAGCCGGGAGAAGGCACCGGGGGGTGCGGGGCAGTGGCGAGTGGAGAGCGAGTTGGTGGCGAGTGAAGTGTGAGGCGATGGCGAGTGGAGTGCGAGTTGGTGGCGAGTGGAGTGCGAGTTGATGGCGAGTGGAGTGTGAGGCGATGGTGAGTGGAGTGTGAGGCGATGGCGAGTGGACCGCGAGGCGATGGCGAGTGGAGTGCGAGTTGGTGGCGAGTGGAGTGCGAGTTGATGGCGAGTGGAGTGTGAGGCGATGGCGAGTGGAGTGTGAGGCGATGGCGAGTGAAGTGTGAGGCGATGGCGAGTGAATGTGAGGCGATGGCGAGTGGAGAGCGAGTTGGTGGCGAGTGAAGTGTGAAGCGATGGCAAGTGGAGTGTGAGGCGATGGCGAGTGAAGTGTGAGGTGATGGCGAGTGGAGTGTGAGGCGGTGGCGAGTGGAGTGCGAGTTGGTGGCGAGTGGAGTGTGAGGCGATGGCGAGTGGAGCGTGAGGCGATGGCGAGTGGAGTG